TTCATAGTGACTCTATGAACAACCAATCTGAACACAGTCCTATCCCGTGCCATCCTCATAATCTCTGACCCACTCAAGCCAATTACTGCAGTCACCACATCAACCCACCTGAGTAAGGGTCTCCTCTCTTTCGCTACTCCTCGACCTTCCCAAGCATGATGTGCCTCTCCAAGGAATAACTTCTCCTAGCAGCTTGCCCAGCGTCTTTGAAATGAAGTGTCATCATCTTTGCCTCCAAGGAGCACTCTGGCTGTACCTTTTACAAGACATTTTCTGTCTGTGTGTTGTTGTTGTTATGTACTGTTGAGTCACTTGCAACTCACAGTGACCCTGTGTACAACTGCTCTGAAGCCTGCCCTGTCCTGAGCCAGTCTCACAGACACTGACAAATCTACCTCCAATGCCCTAGTCACTGTATCAATCCATCTCATGCGGGGTCTTCATCTCCTGCACCATCCCTCTACCCTTCCAAGCAGAATGCCCTTCTCCAAGGACCAGTCTCTCCTGGCCATGTGCCCAAAGGTGAGACCGAGCTTCAAAATCCTAGACTCCAAAGCTAAATTTGGTTTTATCCTCTCCAATACAGATTTGTTTGTTTTCTTGGCAGTTCATCATATGTTCCAGACTCTTCTCAGCACCACAAATCAAAGGCATCAATTTTTCTTCTGTTATCCTTACTCATTACCCAGCTTTCTTATGCATACCAAGTAACTACCAAGACCATGGCCTGGATCAGGTGCACCTTAGTCTCTAGGCTGACATCGTTGCTTCTCAGTACTCTGGAGAGGTCCCTGACAGGACTTTCCCAATGTAAATTGTCTTTTAATTTCCTGGCTACTGGTGCCAAGAGTTTTGATTGTGGAGATGAGCAAGCTGTAATTGTTAACAACCTCAATCTCTTTTACATCCATCATGGTGCTGCCAATTGGGCCCATGGTGAGAATCTTTGTCTTCTTGATGCTAAGCTTCAATCCATATTGAAGACTACAGTCCTTGACTTCCAGCAGCAAACACTTCAGGTCTGCCTCAGTTTCAGCAAGGAAGGTTGTGTCATCTACACAAAGTAGGTTCTGGATGAGTCTTCCTCCAATCCTGATGCCACAATCCTCCTCATAAAGCCCAGCTTCCTGCATGATCTGTTCCACATATAGATGGAAAGGTATGGAGACAGGATGCATCCCTAACGCACTCCTTTCCTGATTTTGAACCATGCAGTGTTTCCTTGCTCTGTTCTGGTCCAAGTATAGGTTTCGCATAAGCACATTCAAGTGTTCTGGGATTCACACTCTCCTCAAGATTAGCCACAATTTGTTGTGATCCACATAGTCAAATGCCTTTGCATAGTCAAGGAGACGGCTATCTGTCTGGTACTCTTTGCTTTCTGTTGAGATTCATCTGACATTGGAAATAATGTTTTTAGTGCCATGACCTCTTCTAAATCCAGCTTGTATTTCTAGTAGTTCTCTGTCAATATAATGTTGTTTAGTCATTTTTGGATAATCTCCAGCAGGATTTTGCTGTGTGTGACATTAGTGATAGTCCTTGGTAATTTCCATATTGCATCAGGTCACCTTTTTTAAAAAAATGGAAATAAATATGGGGCTCTTACAGTCAACTGGTCAGGTAGTTGTCCTCCAGATTTCCTGGCACAACCTGGTAAGCATTTTCAGTGAAGCATCTGTTTGCTAAAATATGCTACTTGGTATTCCATCAATTCTTGGGGCTTTATTTTTTGCCAAGTCCTTCAGAGCAGCCTGAACTTCCTTCTTCATCACCACTGCCTCTTGAAATTCTTTAAATTCTTCTGTGTCAGCTCTTTTTGGTTCAGTGACTCTGTGTATTCCTTCCCTATTCTTTTAATACTTCCTGGATCATTCAATATTATGCCCATAGCATCTTTAAGTATCACAACTTGCAGCTTGAATTTCTTCTTTAGTTCCTCCAGCTTAAGAAATGTCAAGCAAGTATGGCCCTTTTGATTTTCTGACTCTAACTCCTTGCACATTTCATTATAATACTTTGTCTTCCTGAGCTGCCCTTTGAAATTTTCTATTCAGCTCCTTAACGTCTTGATTTTTTTCCCTTCGCTTTGGTTTCTCAGTGCTCTAGAGCAATATTCAGAGTCTCTTCTGACATACATTTTTATCTTCTTCCTCCATCTTTCTAATGACCTTTTACATGCTTCATGGATGATATTCTTGATATCCCATAGCTCACCAGGTCTTGGTTCATTAGTGTTCAAGGCCTCAAATATGTTCCTGAGTTGGTTTTCAAATTTAGGGGGGGATAGACTCAAGATGAAATTTTTATTCCTGTGGATATGATTTAACCTTCTTTAGCTTTCTTTTTAACTTGCATAAGAGTAGTTGATGGTCTGTTCCACAATTAGCACCTGCGCTAGTTTTCACCACTGATATTGAACTTTTCCAATGATTCCTTCCACAGATGTAATTGATCTGAGTCCTGTGTATATCATCAGGTGATATCTATTTGTGTAGCCTGCATTTGTTTCTTATAACAGGTATTTACAATGAGTAAATAATTTATTGTGCAGAGTTCTATCATTTTGTCCCTAGCCTCATTTCTGTCATCAAGTCCATGTTTTCTGACTACTGGCCCTTCTTCGTGGTCCTCAACTTTTGCATTCCAGTTGTCCATTATTATGATGTATCTTTGTTGCATGTTCGATTGCTTTCTTACTGCAAACATTGATAAAAATAATCTATTTCCTCCTCTTTGGCTCAGTAGTTAGTGCATAGACTTGAATGCTGGTAGTATTAACAGGTCTTCCTTGTATACATATGGATATTACCCTGTCACTCACAATACTGTGTTTCAGGATCGGTCTAGAAATTGTCTTTTTAACTATGAACGTGACCCTATTTTCTTTCGCGTTTCCATCTTCAGCATAGTAGACCATATGATCGTGAGATTCAAAATGTCCCATGCCAATCCACCTAATTTTACCAATACTTAATATGTAAATATTTATGCATTCCATTTCTTTCATATGATGCCCAGTTTTCCTCAATTTATGCTTCTCACATTCCATGTTCCAAACATTAGTTTCTGCTTACAACTGTTCTTCCTCTTTTGTGTTTCCAAATTTGAGGGCTCAGACAGTTGTCTTGTCTAAGTGTGCTCTACTGTACATAGAGTTTTTGAAGGCCTGTTATATTTTGGAAGGGGATGGTCAATCCTTCCTCCTAGTCTATCTTAATTTTGATGCTTAGTTTTAGAACAATATCAGTCAGACACATATTTTACCAAAAGGAGCAGATGAAAGACATTTCCCTTACAGAAATAACCAATACATTCAGCGTGCTCCCCTCCCCGGCACGTGTGTCTTATCCCTTCCCTTTCCCTGCTACATCAGCACCCCTTGCACTGCCGTCTACCCTGTCCGGCACCTCCTGTTTCCCAGCCACCCCTTGATATGATGTTTGGTAGGAGGGGCTAATCCTTGGAAAAGGACATCATGCTGGGAAAGGCACCAGGTCAGAGAAAGAAAGGAATATCCCCATGGATTAACATAGTAACTCTAACTATGTCATGAGGATAGTGCAGATCTGCTGTTCATAGAATTCTATGCATCATAGTTGTCTCGATGGCACCTAACAACAATATTCATGTACTTCTGGAGTTCTGTCTCACTGCCTTGATTAATGCTTACATAAAAATTTCAATGATGATGGTAAGTGTAGATATCTAGGAATCATGGACTTCTGAAAGAGCAAATAAATCTGTTTTAGAGGGAGCCAACCAGGGTGCCCCTTAGAAGCAGGGATGGTGAAACATCATTTTATATACTCTGGGTATGCTGTCAGGAAAAATGTATCATGCTGGATCATCACAAGGTCAGCCAAAAAGAGCTGATATATTAACAATGGGTTCAAGGATACCAGAGATTATGAGGAAGATGCAGGAAAGGACAAGATTCAGGTCTATTGTTCACAAGGTTGCTCTATGTTGTAGTCAGTTTGATGGCTTCTAACAATAACATACTGTGAATTCTATTACAATGGTTAAAATAAGCGTTTGCTCGTTCTGAAAAAAAAATAGCAATATGAAAAGTCACAGGCTTCATCTACAACTACCCTTGGAACAACTCTATGTAGGCTTATTTGGCCACTACTGCTGGGATAAACTGGCCCCAGGACTATCTGTCTTGAAATAAGTGCAACCAGGAAGCTCCATGGAGGCAAGAATGCTGAAGCTTCATCTCACATACATTGGGCATGTTGTCAGGAGGGGCCAGTCCTTGGGAAAAGACAGGATACTAGGAAAGGTCAACAAAAGAGAGGATGAACTTCAACAAGATGGACTGACAGCATGTGACAATGAGCTCTAGTGTATCAGAGATGGTGAGGATGGTGCAGGACACGGCAAGGTTCAGATTTGTTGTTCTTCGAGTTGCTGTGAGTCACTGTTGACGTGCTGTCGATATGCAGAATAGAAGGAACCTTCCTGGTTTCCACAGGATTCAGAGCAAGCTGTTTGTACCACTCTGCCAGACATCTACAGCGTTCACACATTCACCTACTTCGCTTCTCATCAGATTACACTCAGACCACACCCCCCTTCCCTGAATTGTAAAAAGATTTCACATACAGTAACAAGTGGACTATTAGACAGAGAGAGCCATGGTCCTCACGATTGCCTTTGCATTTATCATCTGTCTCCCCAACAGCTGTAAGCTCCTAGAGGACAGCAATACCGTCTGCATGCAACAGCCTCTGGAAGAGCAGGGGCTCATTAAATAGCTTGCAGGGGAAGAGATGAATGAACCACTTGCAGTAAAGACAGTGTGCGGGACTTTCTACCTGGGTTGCTTCTTTTATGTCAAATATTCTATAATTTTATATTGGTTTGCATACAAAGTTCGTACACATTTCATTTCATTCATGTGTCTCGCACATTCTTTCATTCACATTGTGCTTCATACGATCATGCATATACCTTGTGTTTTATAAAATTAAACACCATTGATCTGTATCTACCTGGGTTGCTCCGTAAGCGGCTCTCAGTCAGCTCCGTGATGGCTCCTGATGTCATGGTCTTTTTCAGTCGAACAACTCCTGATGTGGTGGCGCTTCCTGGTTTGGTGAGCATGTCCTCACTACTAGCTCTCTTGAGCTAAGAAAGAGGTGGGAGAGAAAGAGAGGATGAAGAGAAATTATTCACTAAGAGTATGTAGTGACAGGAGAGATGGTCAGGAACAGGCAGTGGTTTGTCCTGTTGCTATGAATTAGAATCTACAGGACAGTGCTTAACAACAACAACCATAGCAACCTGAACTCAGCAATCAGGATAAAGTAATGGTACTGCGGGTCAACTCTTACTTAGATTGATCTTGTTAGTGTCAGGAGTGTTGTGACCCATTGGGATTTTAATGGCTGATTTTCAGGAAGAACACCAGGTATTCCATCTGAGGCTTCCTGGATGGAGTCAACAGTCTGATCTTTCAGTCAGCAGCTGAATGTGTCGGTCATTTACACCACCCAGGGACCCCAAGAATAGCACTATAGTGTAGAATAAAAACCACCAAAACGCTCAAAATTAGATGAGTCTGTTTCTATAATTTACAGCTCAGAGCAGGGTCTTCCTTCTGATTCAAAGAATAGAGTTATGGGAAAATATTACCCATTATGTTACCCTTTAAATAATGAATAAAACTATTTGCTTTCCTAGTTGGGGGTGGAGGGTGGGGGAACAAGAATAGAAATATATAATAAAATAATTATGATTCACAAAAAAGACAAGCCATGGCAATTCACAAAAATTTAAGGATAACAAAAGAATAGATGAAAATTTTATCTGGTGGGAGAAAACGGAAGCAAAACAAATATAATCTCAATGTCCACCATGAGGTCTTGCTCTCTGGATGTTGTCTTGTATATTAGGAAGTATTCTTTGCAAATAGGTTTTATAAGAAACACAAACGCAGGCTCTACACATGGATTTCACCTGATGGTATGCATAAGAATCATATCGATTACATCTGTGGAAAGAATCACTGGAGAAACTCAATATCAGCTGTGAAACTAGGCCAGGTACTGATTATGGAACAGACCATCAAGTACTCATATGCAAGTTCAAGCTGAAGCTAAGGAAAATTACATCAAGTTCACAGGAACCAAAATTTGACCTTCAGCCTATCCCACCTGAATTTCAAAACCATCTCAGGGACAGGTTTGAGGCCTTGGACATTAATAAGCGAAGACTTGATGAGCTGTGGGAAGATTATCAAGAATATCATCCAGGAAGAATGCAAAAGGTCATTACAAAGACAGAGGAGGAAGAAAAGATCAAGATGGATGTCAGAAGAAACTTTAAATATTGCACTGAAGCACCAAGAAGCCAAAGCAAAGGGAAGAAATCAAGATATTAAGGAATTGAAATGAAATGTGCAAGGAGCTAGAATCAGAAAATCCAAAGGGCCTAACTCGCTCAGCATTTCTTAAGCTCAAGGAACTGAAGAACAAATTCAAACCTCATTTTACAATATTTAAGGATGCTTTGGGCAGAATATTAACTGATCCAAGAAGCAGTGAAAGAAGATGGAAAGAGCATACAGAGTTATAGTAGCAAAAGGAATTGGTGAACACAGAAGAATTTCATGAAACAATGTATGAGCCAGGGCCTGTGGTGATGAATGAAGAAGTTCAAGCTGCTCTGAAAGAATTGGCAAAAAACAAGGCCTCGGGAATTGATGGCATACTGACTGACATATTTCAACAAACAGACGCTGCCCTGGATGTGCTCACCAAGTTGTGCCAAGAAATTTAGAGGACAACCACCTAGCCTCCTGATTGGAAGAGATCTATATTTGTTCCCATTTCAAAGAAAGGTGATCCAACAGAGTGTGGAAATTATTGAACAATATCATTTACATCACATGCAAGCAAGATTCTGCTAAAGATTATCCAAAAATGACTGGAACAGCATATCAGCAGAGAACTTCCTAAAGTGCAGGCAGTGTTTAGAAGAGGCTGTGGCACTAGGGATATTCTATGAATTCTATTCTATGAATTCTATTCTGTGAATTCTATTCTATGAATTCTATTCTATGAATTCTATTCTATTCTATTCTATGAATTCT